TCCAGACATGCAGATGGACCCGGGAGCTGCTTGAAATCTGTGCAGTGACCTGGTTCCATTCCCAGGTTTCAGCAACTGATGCCATTCTGAGTTCTCAGGTCTACAGTGCCAGGTCTACACAGGGCTTGGCTCTGCTGCAGCCTCCTCTCCATTGTCCTTACTGGGGCACAGAAGGAGCAGAGAGAGTGGATGCTCTCATGTGCCCTGTGACTAGGCGCCAAATACCCCAATAGAAGATTTTAGCTTAAGAGGCACCAGAGATGCCACCTGAGTGGACTGCAGCAATTTCCTTTGCAGAACACCAGTATGGGGAGAGCCCCAGCTGCCCAGTGGCTTGGCACCAGGGTTTAACCCTGGTGATTCTGATGCTGCCACCTTGCCCATGGCTATGCCCCATCATTCCTGTGCTATAGCCCTGCCCTGTTCCTCTGTCCTGAGGCTCCAGTGCTGCCACTGAGAACTGTGGCTCTGTGTCTATAGTTCACATGCTTCCACCTGGACCTACAGCTATGTCCTTGCAGCTCCCACACTGATGCCCAACCCCCAGCCCTGTTGCCTTAACTGCTGAACTGGACCCTGCCTCTGAGGCTCCAGTGTTGCCGCTGGAACCCCTGGCTTCACCCCTAAGGCTTCTACTGGCTGCCTAGCTGTCCAGTTCTCCACCAAGGGATACCAGACTTGAGCCGCTATCACACCTGGATCTAGTGGGAGTGAACACCAACAGCACTGACACCGACAAAAACACTGCCTAGATAGGAATTAGCCCATAGCTGCCACTGTCACCACTAAAGGGAGATACAAGGTTGTCTAAAAAGAAAAATAAACAAAGAACAACCCTATTAAATGTGGCAAAAGGCACAAACAGATGATTTTCAACAGAAGATCAAAAGAAAATAGACAAATGGCAAAAAAAAAATATGAAATCACTAATCATCAAGGAAATAGATGCAAGTTAGAACCACAATGAGATACTGCCTTATTTCTGTTAGAATGGCTATAATTAAAAAGTTAGAAAACAATGGATGCTGGCGTGTATATACAGAGAAAGGAACACACACACTATTGGTGGTACTACAGATTCATACAACTTCCATAGAAAACACTGTGGAGATTGCTCAAAGAAATAAATGTAGCATTTATTCATTCAATCCAGCAATCCCACCGCTGGGTATCCAACCGAAAGAAAAGAATTCATCTTATCAAAACAACATCTGCACTAAAATGTTTATCACAGCACAGTTTATAATTGCAAAGATGTGGAATCAACCCAAGTGCTCATTAATTCCTCAGTGGATTAAGAAAATGTGAGATATACAGGATGAACATAAAGTTCATGTGCAATTTAAAATAGTTTAACATAATAAATTGCATGCAAACTTTATGGAGGCACATATATACGTGTGTGTGTATATATGTGTGTATATAGTCCAGTATATACATATATATATACACACACACATGCGTATATATTTACATACATACATACCATAGAATACTATTCAATCCTAAAAAATAATGAATTAATATATTTTGAAGCAACTTACATGGAACTGGAAACAATTATCTTATGCAGAGTACCTCAGGAATAGAAAAATCAATACCATGTGTACTTAGTAATAATTGGGAACTAAATGATGGGCACACAGAGGTACAAAGAGATGTACAGGTCACAGGAAGTCAAGAAGGATGGTTGTACATACTGGGTACTATGAACACAATTATGGTGATGGGCCCCAAGCCAAGCATTAGATAAGGTGTGCATTGAGCAAAAACATCTGTACCTCCTTGACATTTTGATATAAAAACAATAAGAAATAATGATGATATGGTGAACAGCTGCTAAGATGTGGATTAGAAACCCTAGGGATACAGTAATGATATGTATCTAAACTTTATTACACTTATTTCAACACAGACTCACTTCTTAGAGGTTTATTCACATGTAAAGCATTAATTGCTGTTAAATATTTATCTTGGACTCACATTTCATAAATAGGTACAAAATATAAAAATAATGAGATGAACTCTGGTGTCTACAATGGCATTTTAGAAATTACAACATAAATAAGAACTCCTTCTGGTGGTTTGGGAATGAGACAGAATCCCGTCCATCTTGGGAGATTTACGTTATACGGGGGATGTTCAGTGTAGTGTATCTGAGGCAGGACTGAAAACATTTCCATGAAAGAAACAATTGCAGCCCAAACCCCAAAGGGTGGACCTAATGGATCCCTTTTATATCTTTAATTGCAGCAATTCTGTGGGTGAAAGGAACAACACACAAAATGATAAAAAGAAAACTTGAAGTAGTTATGTTTCTAAAAACATCATTTAATAAATTATAAGAAGACTAAAAGGAAGCCCAGCAAGTGAGTGAGGAAACATGTTTATTCCCCAGATAGTCTTTAGAAGACGGGAAGGAGAGGAAGCTAAGTGTGGACTGCAGATGAAATATTTACAAAATAAACCCCACAGGCAGTAATAATTGAATATTTTATATTTTGACTTATTCAACTTTTATGATTTAATTTTTTTCTTCATTGAGTTTAATTAAGCTTTCCCTAGGGTCACAGCCTTGAAAACTTTGAAAAAATAAAGCTATTTTGTTTACCAGGCAGGTTTTCACAGCTCTCTTTAAACTGAAGTATGTATTTTGTTAAAATATTTTTCCAAGGCTACTGTTCAGCATTTTTATGGTATCTGCTGTTTCATTAAAAAATAATGCTTAATAGTTTGGCAAAGACGATGCCTTATGCACGAAAATGTTTTTGTTTCCCTATACCAGTGGTTCACAATCTTCCTACTGCTGTGACCCTTTAATACAGGTCCTGTGGGTCGCGACCCACAGGTCGAGAACCACTACCCTATACTGTGCTGATACTTCATATCAAGGATGAATAATTTTCAATATGGTAAGGTTAATTAAATGTAGGTTGCTTACTAGAAGAAATTTATCATGAGACAATTTAAACTATTCTTTCACTCATTTATTTACTCGAATTATTAATTTATGTATTTTTATATTCATTCATTTATTCATCCATTCAAATACAACCTGCTGTGTGCTGCTTATGATGCAAGGAGATACTCGGAAAATAACAGAAAAGGAAGAAGGAAAAGCCAACTGCTGCTAGAGCTTCCATTTTATGATGACGTTAACTCCTTCTTGCTTCCACCTAGCATAATAGGATCAGCTGTGTGTACAGGTGTTAGAATTTTACAGACTCATTTATGTTTGAGTCTAGATTAGATCTTGGTAGAAAAGGAAAAGCAGAATCAGAGGACAATAAACTCCAGCTCTTCCAATGGCCAAGTTTCCAGGCATAGATATTCAGTGATTCCATCAGGCCATTTTGCCTATAACTGGGAGAAATGTAGCCATAAAAGAATACAGAGGAGAAGGTAAAGAGAGGAACTTATTTTAAAAGAAAATAGGTTATATTTTCACTGTCTTATAGGATACTATAATAGTTTCTTTGCCACAAAGTAAATGAATCAAAAGATTATTGGAAGATCAACAGTTGGGGGTTTACTTAATTTTCTTATTGGGAAAATCACTTCCATCAAGAACCATATTGTACCTGTTATTATGGGGCCATCAAAAATTGTGTAAAAATTTTAGTAAAGAGATCTCTACATTAATTTTAATGGTACTGGTGAGGTTTTTTGGCGGGGGGGTGCGGGGGCTGGGTTTAAACCCATCACCTCTGGCATATGGGACTGGTGCCCTACTCTTTTGAGCCACAGTAGTGGTGACTTTTTTGAGTCACCCAGTAGTGGTGACTTTTATTGTCAGTAACTTAGAAGATAAAAAAGGGCTCATGAAAAAGTCATAGAGAGCTTGGTGGAAGTATGACATAGTTCTGAATAGCAGTCTAAACATGATGATTTTACAGGGTATATACACTGTGGGTGTTTCTATACACACCCAAACAGCAAAGAATGATACATTCTTTTAATTCACTGCTTTAATTTTTTAACTGAATTTACTACATACCCTTTATTTTTTCTTTAAAAGTTTTGTTGAGAAACTTTCTCAACTTTTTTTCTACATGGAGTCTACAAAGTTTTAGATATACAGGAATAGAAATCATTTTCTGGATATTTTTAAATATGAACACTGGACATCTTCTAATGAGTAACAGTGTAATAAATAGTCTATTCTCAGGGGTCCTCAAACTTTTTAAACAGGGGGCCAGTTCACTGTCCCTCAGACCGTTGGAGGGCCAGACTGCGGGCCCTGGGACAAGTCAGTTGCTAAGCAGGACAGGCAGCGGTGGCAGAAACACCCGGTGGGCCGGATAAATGTCCTTGGTGGGCTGCATGTAGCCCATGGGCCATAGTTTGAGGACACCTGGTCCATTGGATTCTATTATTGATTAGAAGATCTCCAGTGTCCTTCCTCTGAATATTCATTCAACTATTAGTTACGGGGCAGGAGCTCTGCAAGGAGGTAAGCCACTTACAGAGAAGGAGACAGCTTAGACTTGACTTCACAATTATCCATACACATTAGTATACTTGACTAAATCATTCCAATTTTGCCTATTCTTGTTGTTTAGGGATATACCCCCAAATATATTTGTTTTTGCTGGTATTTTCTTCTGATGTAGTGAGATGGAAAGAAGTAGCATAAAAAAGTAGCATTGGCTAGAGCAGGGGGTAAGTTTTGTCAATTTAGCAATCAAAGAATTGTCTGTTATGCTGATATTCTATATTTATACATTTTATATACTCACATATATATACACACAAATGCATGTGTGTGTATACATAAATGATCACAAAATGTATACAAAATTTGGGCTCTTTTTTTACCACGAATAGCCATGGTAGGAAATGTTAAATGTTTTCAGCAAGCTAATTGTTTTATTTATTTGGATGAAGTGTATCAGACCAGTCCATAGCCTCATTCTGGCCACAACCATGAACATATTTTTAACACACACACACACACACACACACACACATGAAATTAATTGTTAGAAGTGTACAAGGTAGTACTCCCTATACCAGCACATGCACTAAAATTGAATTGACACAGGGAAGATTAACATGGCCCATGTGCAAAAATGACACACATATTCACGGACCATTCCATATTTGAAAAAAAAGAAGAAAGAAAGAAAATGTGTACAAGGTAAACTTCCAAGCAAAGGAAGTTTCCCTGGAAAAGGTGAGTTCTAACACACTGAAGTTGCTGTGATATTTATCACAAGGGGTTAATCTTCTACACACACATACGTAAACACACACGTATGCAGAAAATGGTTTTATGTCAATTATACAAGCCCATGTTTTACACACACACTTACTATTTATCACCTGACATATCCTATAACTTCTTCACCAGACTCTGAAAATAAACAGCTATAAATAAAACAATATTGAAGACTTGAGACTTGATTTCTTATTTTCATGTGAGACAACCAGCTTCTCTCTATTGATGCTGTTCAGAGGTCTTGTACTATAGCTCTGTTGAAAAACTGCCCTGGCCCTCCAAATATCTTAATGACTTTTCTCTCAGCAGTTGGTAATGGTGAAATGTTATTCTAGTAACCATAATGTCTCTCATAAAACAATTGCATACAATTTGTACTGTACTTCTATTTTAGTGAGCTCTTCTGTCAGAATAGCAATGCCAGTAACCATTTAGCATTTCATAGCAAACTGCTTACCAGTCCTTCAAGTGTAATATTGCAGAAAGAGTGAAGAAATGCGTGATTAAAAACGTTCACTGAGAGTGAACCATTTAACGCAACCCGACACTGCAAAATAAACCAGCCTTCACATATGTAGGCGCTCATCATAGAAATGACAGTTCTATGTGGTCATTTAATTTTACGATCTCAATTCTCGCATATATTGCTCACATAAATATAGTGTTCTCCTGCAGGGAGGTCTGCTGGGTGTTATAAAATCAGTGAGACCTCAATGGGTTCAAATGGACATCTTTTATAATTATTGCTATAAAATTTCTTGACAATGCATTTTGTTGTCCAATGGCTAAAGAAAACGATTTTCCAAAAGAATGAATTTCAACAAAGAGAGTAACAGAGCCTGGGAATTTGTTCCTGTATTCACCCATATTTAAATTACCTTAGTGTCTCTTACCTATTGGAAGCCTTCCTGCTCTTCAGAATAGGTTCTTAAAATGTGGCTTCTGGTTAGAGGCAGGCCAGGTTTAAATTGTTTTCTGGTTTGATGAGGCAATGTGGAATATCTAGAGGGAAGGATTAATTTGCTGTTAAGTGCAATTAAAATTTATTTACAGGGAATTCTTTCACACACTTGGAAAGGTAAAGAAAGTGTAAGAGGGGAAGTTCCATAAACTCAGGATTAGAAATGGTTTGGAGAAAAGACACATCAACTTTGAGAAATTATATCAATGGCATCATGCATTATTTGAAGAATTTTATTATTTTTCTAACTTTTCCTGACTTTTCCAGGGTTATGTACTTAGCATGACAAGAAAATTATATGGTATATTTTCTGTATAGTGTATTTGGATGTTTTAAAATCTCGTAGTTTTTATATTTTCTCTAGGATAATGATTTGTGATCAGTATTGTTGCCTTGTGTGACAAGTGTTTAATGCACACTAATTGAATTTGGGTATTTGTTTTCTATGATTGTCCTGTAACTACTTTTGCAAACTTATTTTTTAAAAAGTCTATTTCAAAATGCAATGAAACTTCTGCTGTTTGTTATAAAAAAGGGAAATGAATTGTGCAAGATATTTTTTAATGTTAAAATAATAATGTGTAGCCACATTGGTTGAAATATAAGGAAAGAAAGTGAGATATGAGCCTTCGTTTCATCTTGTGGTGAAAGCAACTGTGCTGAGTGCAGCCTAGAAGGAACTCTTGAGGGTATTCAGGCTCCTGTGGGCTTCTGGTGGGGTCACTTGTCATTTGCCTCTATTGCATTTGATGTTGGTCTGGCAGAAGTATTAATATGGGGATGGAAATGCTTCTCCTTTGTCTAAGAAATTAACTCATTCTTTCATTTAGTTAATATAATTATTCTGAAACAGTTGGTATTTATCAAGTGCCTTTCTTGTGGTAGGTACTATTGCTACAACAATTAGAAGTACACAATTTCTGTTTTCTTGAGAGAGGGTCTAATGATGGAAAGGTTTCTTAAAGAAATAGTTACAATTAAAGGAAAAGTATAAGAAGTTTTTAGAAGGGCGAAAAAAGAGAATAAACTCTTACACAATAGGTACAAGAAGGTCTCCTGAATAAGGAAGCATCAAATCTAAGGCCTGAGAGATAAGTGAGATAAATCTAGAAAGGCTTAGGACAAGGCAATGAGACAGAAACAGGAAAGTCTAAATTCCAGTGAAAACATAAGTAACTACAAAGTTGTTTGTAGTTGTAACTACAAAGCTGTTTTAAAATCTCTTAGTTTGTGACAGTATTGTTGCCTTGTGTGACAAGTGTTTAATGCGCACGAATTGGATTTTGGTATTCATTTTCTATGATTGTCCTGTAACTACTTTTGCAAACTTATTTTTTAAAGAAATATACAAAAAGAGTATAGCAAGGAAGGTGGCTGAGCAGTGGAAGAGGCAAGCCAGATATATTCACAGCTGAATTTTATCAGACCTGAAAGAAGGAGTTCATACCCACACTGCAGAAATTATTCCATAACATCAAGAAAAAGGAAATCCTCCTCAATTCATTCTACAAAGCCACTATCTCCTTGGTACTAAACACAGAACAGGACACCACAATAAATAAACAAATAAATAAACAAATAAATAGGAAAGGAAAGAAAGAGATACAGAGACAACTGCAGACCAATATTCCGAATGTAGGTGTAAGTGAAAATAGATGAAAAATCCTCAGTAAAATATTAAAAAATCAACTGAAATAGTACATCAAAAAATAATGCACCATGACCAAGTGGGCTTCACCCAGGGATGCAAGGATGGTTCAATATATGTAAGTCAATGAATATGATTCATCACAGAAACAAAAGCAAATGTAAAGATCATATGATCATCTCAATAAATACAGAAAAAGCATTTGACAAAATTTCAGCATTCTTTCCTGATAGAAACCCTCAACAAACTAGGAATAGAAAAGACATACCTCAAAATAATAAGAGCCAGATAAGACAGACCCACAGCCAACATCATACTGAACAGGGAATAGCTGAAAACATTCCTACTAATAACTAGAACTTCTATTCAATATACTGCTAGAAGACCCAGCAAGAGGAAGCAATTATGGGGTGTCCACATTGGGAAAGAAGAGATCAAACTATGTTTCCTTGCTGATGATATGATCTTAGATCTAGAAAATCCAAAATATTCCACCAAAAGACTCCTGGAATTGATAAACAAATTCAGACAAGTCTCAGGTTACAAAAGCAATGGACACAAATCAGTAAGTGTTCCTATACTCCAACAATAGTCAAGCTAAGAGTCAAAGCAAAGACTCAGCACCATTCACAGTAGCTACAAAAATAAAAAATAAAAACCTATATATTTAATTGAGGTGAAAGATCTCTACAAAGAGACCTAAAAAAAAAAACTAACAAAAGCAATTACAGAGGATACAAACAGATGAAAAAACATATCATGCTCATGGATTGGTGGAATCGACATTGTTAAAATGTCCACACTACCCAAAGTGATTTGCAGATTCAGTGTAATCCCCATCAAAATACCAACATCATATTTTACAGATTTATAAAAAATAATTCTATACTCCATTTGGAACCAGAAAAGATCCTGAATAGCCAAGGCAATTACAAGCAACAGGAACAAATCTAGAGGCAGCATATTACCAGACTTCAGAGCATATTACAATGCATGGTAAGCAAAACAGCACGTTATCGGCACAGAAATGGAACAGAATAGAAATCTCAGATATAAAACCATCCATATACAGCCAACTGATCTAACCAGACAAAAATATACAGTGGTAAAAAGAATTTCTATTCAATAAAGTATTGGGGTAAAATTGGATAGCCACATGCAGAAGAATGAAATGGAATCTATATTTCTCACCACTCACGAAAATTAATTCAAGATGGATAAATAACTGAAAAGTAGAGCACGAAAGCATAAGAATTCTAGAAGAAAATGTTGGAAAAACTCTTCTAGAAATTGGTGTAAGTAAAGAGTTTATGTGAAAGATCTGAGTTTTTCAGAAAAATAGTTCTAATTTCTTTTACGGGTGGACTAGGCATTGGTGTTCCTGTGTAGTTTCCCACAGAGAATATTTTGAAGGTGACTGTAGTGATATTCAGCAATGGTGTATGTAGCACTTTTTTCTAGGACCAGTTTGCAAACTTAATTGTCAGACCTCACCTGTGGATAATTAATGCCAAAAATTTCTGCCTCATCAACAATTATCCAAATCATTAATTTCCATGATTTAACAAAGGAATAAGATGCAAATCAGTTATTTAACTAAAACATGCATTTTTTTCCCATAACAGAATTCTCCTAATATGAACACATTTAATATTTTCCCTTATTGCTTGGATCTTTCAATAAAGAGTACATTAATCTCTTCTTTTGTTAGTATATTTTTTATCTACTCTAAATATTAGAAATTAACTGTTGTCTGACTTAAAGAATTTTATGTTCATTCTTTCTATGTTCAAAAATAAAATTAATTGAAAATATTTAAACTTTCTCTAAGAAAATAAAAATGCCTATTCTAGTACATATCCCTCAATTAATTTTTATGTGGGTTGACAGCCCTTTACTGCTTCTGTAAGCTTCTGTTTTAGCTTGACTTCTTCCAGAAACAGACCATGAGACAAGGATTTCAGTAAAAGTAATTTGTTTGGCAGATTATCCAAGAAAACATCAGGAAGAGAGTAGGAAAGTGAGTCAGCAAGGGGAAGAAAGATAACAAATGTGCATTAGTGAGCAGATTTCTGCTATTGTCAACTAAATTCAATCCTCATGGGAACTTCTGAGGGACTGTGTAATTCATCCTTGCAAGTTGCCCTTCCAGGACTAGAAAGCTGGGGTATTCATTCTTTATCTCTCATCCATCATTGGCTGAAGACTGTTCTTGGCAGAGTAATCCTCCAGGACCTCCACCCTTCCTTTGCTGTGGCTGTCTATGTTCCTCAGTAC